TGCCCTGGGACATCTGTGGCTAAATTTTCAAGATAGTCAGTTTTTGAATGTGCAGCCTTCTGAAGTGGTGTGTTGCCAGATTTGTAGGAGTGACACTAGCCTAAACGTCTGGGTGAAAACATGAGCAAGAACTGTTCCTCCTCATGAATCCCAGTCTTTGCTTTGACCCTTTTGTATGCTTTTAACAGCCTGTTGCTCTTATCATAGAAGATCTAACGGTCTAACTTGCCTGTCTGGCAAGTGTTGTGCAATTGTTCATTTTGCCATTGTCTGTTCTCAACCATGTTGTCTCATGACAGAAAAAGACAGAGGTGGAGCAGGATATTGTAAAGTATTCTGAAAGCTAAATACCAAAACACTACAGCCTGTGTGCTCCTTGTCTCCTGACATCTCCACAGTACTGACTCAAAGCTCCAGCCTCCAGGTACCTCTACAGTTTCTACTCCTGTTCCCTCCATGCATTACCTCTTTCCAAATGGGTTTCCTGGTCTTTGATTGCATCATTTGGTGTGTCCTAAGGTCAAACCACCTACAGGTAGCAAGTTAGTTTGGACTTTTGCTCCATTCCACTCTCGGTATCTGCTGAGACTGCAGACAGAAATCCTGGTTAATGCCCACTGGGGTAGGTACCGTGGTGTGCAGGCAGAGCCACGTGCCGAGGTGCCTGTGGAATTTCAAGCTATTCCACAAGTTACTCCACCTGGTAATGCTGGGGTGCATCACTGACACTGCTTGGCCAGAACCAAAATGTGGAAAGTGTCACCAACCCCACCAGCACTCTCTGCCCACCTCCAGTGGGCAACTTGTCTCACTGATACGCTTCTCCCACTCCTGGTTCCTTGGGCTTTTCCTTCATATTCTGCTCCTTCTCAGTCTGTTACCTTTGATGAGCAGTAGGTTATTTCTTTTTGGGGGTAAAAAACCCCAGAACTGATTGCTTAATTGCTGCGAGGCCTCCATGAGCCACAGCTCACTCTGGAGCTAGTTTACAACCCTAAACACACAGCCCAAGTAGCTGTGAGTTAAATCTAAGGCACTGCAAGGAAAATTATTAATTGTTCTGGTTTCCTTTCCTTTCCCACCTCTTCTATGACATCTTTGAGCACCGTTTCATGTATCAGTAACAGGAACCTTTCTGTTTTTTTTTACCTGATGAAGGTGAAAGGTAATCCATCAGCGTTAGATCCTATGTTTTACACATGAAAATGGGCAAACGGTTAATTAGGTGAGATCAAAATAAGGACAGTATATATGGATTTCTTTACCTTCTGGTTTCTGAATCTTCAGGCAATGTCTAGGTGAAGTGTCCAGTTTCTGCTGTCTTCTGGACCACTGGTGACAAAGACCATATTTAAATACTGGGATTTTTGTGGAGTCTCATGAAATCCTGCAGCTTAAGTATTAGGGAGAAAAAAATAATCTAATCTTTAAATTATAGGAGTTTAAAAAATGTGAAAGATTTGACCAGCACCTTAAGAACTGACACAGGGCTAGGG